TATTTATATTAAATAACTTGTGGGGCTTTAGGTGAAAGTTTACAGAGCAAAATGGTTTTTGACAATGGTAACACATTTTGTTTTGTGACATTCATTGCAATCCCCACAACATAACATCACTTTTCCCACTTCCTCTATGTGTTTACCATTTCCTTTCATCCTTCTTTCCTATCCTTTCCTGCCTTCTGAGCTTTATTCTTGGGCCATTGCTGCCCTTTTGAGCTCATGTTGTTGATTCTTCTATGGAGTGCATAACTCCCTGGTGGTACTGTTTACCTCATAGGCCTATTATTCGGCTGAAGGCTGAGTCATGGGAGTAAGTTCAGGTCCAGGCTTGAAGCATGGCTAAGGGCCATAGTCTCAGGGGTTCCACCAGTCTCTGTCAGACTAGCCTTATGATCTTGAGAAGGTTATGTAAGTTCTCTGTGCCTTAGTTTCCTTATCTGTAAAATGAAGATAATACTAGTGTCTAAGGCATTTGACTGTTAACCAGAAGTCTGGTGGTTCAAACCCACCAGCCACTCCTTGGAAGAAAGAGTGGCAGTCTATTTCTGTAGTGATACTGCCTCAGAAACCTAAGGAGGGGTCGCTATGAGTTGGATCTGACTAGATGGCAGTGAGGTTTTTTATTTTTTATTTTTTTGGTTTGATAGAATTATTATGAGAATGAAATGAGTTACTATCTGTAAAGAAGTTAAAGCTGTTTCTCGTAAATAGTAAGGATTATGAAAAAATAATTAATGCATTTCAGTTGTCATGCTGATGAAAAATACTGAATATGCCATGTACTGTCAGAAGAACAAACAAATCAGTCTTAGAAGAAATATAATGGAATGTGTCTTAGAAGTGAGGATGGCAAGACTTAATCATGCTTATTTTGGAAGGACCAATCACTAGAAAAGGACGTAGTTTGGTACACTTAGAGGGCCAGCAAAAATGAGGAAAACCTTCAATGAGATGCATTGACACAGTAGTCTCAGTAATGGACTCACACATTCAAAGATCATGGAGATGGCTCAGAACCATGCAGTGTTTTGTTCTCTTACACATCAGGCCACCTTGATGGTAACTGATAACGAGGGCAGTTAACAATATATACATGTTTGTTAAATAAAAATCTTTCTTTACTGGACTTAAGCATGCCAACTTTTAAGACTCTCTGGATTTCAGTTTCCACAGCCAATATATCATGTTACTGAGCTTATCATTCTCTGTTGCCATTATCTGCTTTTCCATCCCCCTCCTCTAGACTGAGTTTGCTTTTAACATGGCCCAGTGCCTGGAACACAATGCTTGGAGCACAGAGATTCCCCTTCATCATTAAAATGCCTCAGTAAACTTTATGGTTGAATGCCCCCAAATTTGGAATAAGTGGGTTATAAATAAATACCTGTTGCATTCTTTTCTCACCAAACTTAGGTTTCTACCATGTACATATTGGTTATTACTTGACCTGAAAATTTGGCTTCAAAAGTGCTTTCCGACTCTGGTGTTCTTTTGCTTTTTTAACAAATGGACTCCTTTCTCATTTTTATCTGCAAACAGAATTTATGTACCTTCATTAGTGCAGCCAGTAAATACGCTCAGCTCCAGTATCTGTGGAAGACAAGGGACTCAGGAGCTGTGAGCGCCCTGACATGGAGCCTCTCTTCTTATACTTGTGCAAGTAAGAGAACGACTCAAATTGCGGGGTGTGCTCTGTAACATCAGCTGTCTACCTGGAAGAGGGTGTTAACTTGGGGTCTAGGGATCATGATCCCTAGAGCTTTGCTAACATCTATTGAGATAAAACATCCTATATCTATCTATATTTACAAGGCCAATTTAATACACACTGTTCTCCATTTTCCACAAGATTTGTATTCCAGTTGCAAAAAATAAAAAAAATAGTAAAATGAATGAAAGCACACCTCTCTCCAGAAATCTACCCTGATATTAACAGCCCTCTCCTGTTCTTTGAAAACATCAAGAGGTTAGAAATATTTAATCCACTAATTTGTTTCGAAGTTTGGAATCTTTGTGATGTACCAGAGTAAAAAGATCTGATTAAGAAAATCATGCATTGGCTTTTGAGCATCAATGTAATTTGTAGCAGTGCAGTTTTTCTGGAGCTTGACTGTTTGGGATCAACTTTGTTTATTTGGGTTCTTACAAGAATTACCTAAGATATATACGTGAACTCTCTCTATATATATGATCTATATATATATATCATATAGATATGTGTAGAAAAATTTTAAAATTCAGAGCTATCATGTAAGATTTACTAGTATGAGGTATTTTAATTATACTTCTTCATGGTTTTTCTAGGTCTTAAAGGACCAATTTCTCCATCCAGGATTGCTGGCATGGATCTTTATATCAAAAGTTACTTTAAAATCTTTTTTTTACTTTTAGCTGTAAAATATTGAAGTGCTATTATGTAATATATGTATGGTTTTTGGAATTGCTGATTAGATAGATTATTTATTGTTGTTGTTGTTGTTGTTATGTGCCGTTGAGTGGGACCCGACTCGTAGTAACTCCTCCTTGGGTTTCCAGTGCCTAAGGCACTTGACTGCTAACCAGAAGGCTGGCGGTTCAAACCCACCAGCCACTCCTCGGAAGGAAGGTTGGGCAATCCT